AGGAAGATCAATAGTTTTGTAGTTCGAATTTTGGTGACGTCATGTGAAAACCAGCTATAAAGAAATTATACGCAAATTGTGCATTCGCATGTTAGCCAGCAAAGTGAGTTCTTGGGTTGCCTGAATAAAACAGAAAAGTACAACTGACTCCGAGCCTAATCGTCTTTTCTTCGCATTTTTGGGGATGTTACAAAGCATAGGCACGGGTGGCCTGGGTACCGTAAAAATGTTCCAGGCGTTGCCTGCTCAATCAATGGTGTTTTATACGGTCGTAAAGCTGTTGTTATCCGTTTATCGCGTTGGTTCTTCATGATTAACAGGACCTATGAAGGTAAACTTAAAGCATATGAGGCAAGAATACTATAAACTGAAAGATTACAAGATTTCCCATTGCAAATTTTTTTTTTAAGTGGTTAAAATATATCGATCGAGGTTAAAGTTAAAAAAGACCCCCGAGGAAGAATTTTTAGGTTCAGATACCCCCCTCCCGTCCAGATTTCCCGAGCCATCAACCCCCCCTGCCACGAGAATTTCCAGTTTGCCATCCGTCAGGGGGGTGTGTATTTTTTCTGGAATAACCCATTACTACCTGCGATAATATTGTGTTAAACGGTTATCTACCTGTATTGTTTTCAGAGTTATCAATGTTGTAAAAGATGAATTCCGTTATAGCTAATCGAGCCTTCTGAAATGTATGAGATAATGTTTATTAAGACTTTTTAATAACTCTACGTAATCCTTTAGAATCGTGTTTTCGGCTTTAACAGTCGTGCCTTGTAAAATATTCTTTGGTGACGTTCTTGGATTAAAACGCTACCGTTGGACCCAAGTTCTGAGTGTTGTTGAGGTCTCTGAAGATAATTCCCTGTAACAGATCCCGCTTTCCCTGCAGCAAGACAGTTCCCCCAGGTTTTCCCAGGCCAAAAACCTATAATCACACCCACCTTGTTTGTTAGCTAGACGTATTGTAGGCTTAACAAGTTATGGTCCAGTGGCGGATCTAGATGTGATTTAATGTGATGTATGATGTACTTTGAATACTGTCATGAATACTAACTCAACTCAATCACTGGATGGTTGGGCATTCAAGGAAGCTAGAAAATAACATCAACAAATTTGGCTGCTGAGATTGATTACTGTATGTATAAACCACTGAGCACCAGTAGCAAAACATGCTTACATTGTTCACAAAAGCAGTGCCCAGACATACCAATTAGGTCATATATTTACATCAGTAAGTTATTAAACGTTGTAGTGTACAATATCCCCTGGACATTTTCAAGTGTTGTGCTCTGTTGAACAAAAAATTTGTAATAAGATTTTTATCACTGAACAACCCCTTTTTACCCTTCTTACCAACATAATTTTCAAGTGAGAGTCAGTGAAATTGCTGATACAAGTTTAAAGAATAACAGTATTGCAAGGATTCGAGGTAGTACGGGTCAGTTTTGCCCGTGGTGAAGAGCAATGCTTCATTTCCCTAGACTTTTCATTTGCAACTTCTTTGTGTTGTAAAAGAAGTT